TTGGTTAGTGTGATTTCAGTTCTGGAACCCAAACTTCAAAACTCTGGAGGTGTAGTGATTATGCATTGGATGGCTGCTCAAGAAGAGATGCTTTCAGATGTTTGAAAGCACCAGTTGTAAAAAAAAAAAAGCACCAGTTGCTCCATGGGAGAAAGACGAGTTTTTCTATTCCCGTAAAGAGTTACTCTTAGAAATCCATGGCAGCTACCTTGTCCTGAAGAGCTGTAATCAACTTGGTGACAGTGAGTTTAGTGCTGAGAAACCAAACCCACTGCCAATGAGTTCATTCTGACTCCTGTTGTTTTTAGGTGCCCTTGAGTCCCTTCTGAATCTTAGCGACCCTGTGCACAACAGAACAAAACACTGCCTGCTTCTGGGCCATCCTCACAATTGTTCTCATGTTTGAGCCCATTGTTGCCGCCATTGTCAAGGACTTTCCTCATTTTTGATGCCCCTCCACTTTGCCAAGCATGAACTGGTCTCTCCTAATAACATGATCAACGTATGTGAAATGAAGTCTGGCCATCCTTGCCTCTAAGGAGCATTCTGGTTGTACTTCTAAGATATAACCGTTCTTTTGGCTGTTCGAGTTACTTTCAATATTCTCCTCCAACACCTTAGTTCAGATGTACCAAATTTTCTTTGGTCTTTCTTACTCAGTGTTCAATTTTCACATGCATGTAAGGCTATTGAAAATAGCATGGCTTTGGTCAGGTGCACCTTATCCCTCAAAGTAACATCCTTGCTTTTCAATGCTTTTAAGAGGTCTTGTGCAGATTTACCTAATGCAGTGCATCCTTTTGATTTCTTGACTGCTACTTCTATGAACATTGATTGTGGATCCAAGCAAGACAAAACCCTTGGCAACTTTAATTTAGTCTTTTCTCCATTTGCCATGATTGGACCAGTTGTGAGGATGTTTATTTTCCTTACATTGAGTTGTAATCCATACTGAGACTGTCATCCTTCATCTTCATCAGCAAGTCCTCCTCATTTCAGCAAGCAAAGTTGTGTCATCTGCACATTGCAGGTTGTTAATAAGCATCCCTCAAATCCTGATGCCACATTCTGCTTCATATAATCCAGTGTCTCTGATTATAGCTCATCATATTGAATATGGTGAGAGAATATAACACTTGGCTGACATCAGCAATGACATCTTTTGTTCTTCGCCCCCTTCTGAATCCTGCCTGAACCTCTGGCAGCTCTCTTTCAATGGATTACTGCAACCGTTATTGGATGATCTTCAGTAAAATTTTACTTGCATGCATGTAATATTGGTATTGGTCTATAATTTAAACATTCTGTTGGGTCACCATTCTTTGGAATGCGTACAAATATGGATCTCTTCCAGTTAATTGTTTAAATGTCTTCCGAATTTCTTGGCATAGACAGTGAGTGCTTCCAGTGCTCTAACAGCCTGTTGAAACATTTCAGTTGATATTCCATTAATTCCTGGAGCTGTGTCTTAATGATTATGCATTGGGTTGCCAGGTTAGTAGTTTGAAACCACTAGCTGCTCCTTGGGAGAAAGATGAGGCTTTTTATTCTTGGAAAGAGTTACAGTCTCAGAAACTTAGAGGAGCCATTCTACCCTCATGGTTCACCATGAGTTAGCATGGACTTGTTAGCAGCGAGTGTTTTTCATTTTGTTTTTGGCTAATGCTTTCAGTGCAGCTTGGACTTCTTCCTTTAGTACCTTTGGTTCTCGCCCTTATGCTACCTTTTGAAATTGGTGAATGTCGACTATTTCTTTTTGATATAGTGACTTTGTGTTCTTTCTATCTTCTCTTAATGCTTCCTGCATCATTCAATATTTTGCCCATAGAATCTTTCAATATTGCAATTTGAGATTTGAGCTTTATCTTGATTTTTTTTTCCATTTCAGATATGCTGTGGGTATTCTTCTTGGTTTTCTAACTATAGGTCTTTACACATTTCATTGTTTAATATATATATATTTAATCATTTTATTGGGGGCTCATACAACTTATCACAATCTATACATACATTAATTGTGTAAAGCACATTTGTACATTCGTTGTCCTCATCATTCTCAAGCATTGTTATATTTTACTTTGTTTTCTTGAGCTGCCCTTTGAAATTTTTGGTTAGGTGTTTTTATTTCATTTCTTCCATTTGCCTTAGCTACTCTATGAGTAAGGGCAGGATTGAGAGTCTCTTCTGACATCTACTGGATCTTTTCTTTCTTTTTAATAACTTTGCTTTAATAACAGCTCATCAGGTCTTCTGTCTTTAGTGTTTGATACATCAAATCTGTTTTTGAGGGATCATTAAAATGAGGAGGTATAGAATCCAGGTTGTATTTTGGTCCTCATGGACTTGTTTAATTCTTTTTTCAATTTTAACCTGAAATTATACATGAGCAATCGATGGGTCTGTTCCACAGCCAGCCTCTTAATCTGGTTCTAGCTGCTTGATTTGAGCTGCTCTATTATTTCTTCCCATAGATGTAGTCAGTTTAATTTTTGTTTATACCATCTGAAGAAGTCCATGCGTATCATTGCCTTTTGTGTTGTTGAAAAAAGATACTTGTTGAAGGAGACGAAGAAGGTATTAGTCTTGCAAAATTCTATCATGCATCTTTGTTTCTGTCACTAAGATCTTATATTCCAGCTACTGTTTTTTCCTCTTTGATTCTAGTTTTTGCACTCCAATCCCAATAATTATCAATGCGTCTCGATCGCATGTTTGATCAATTTCAGACTGAAGATTTTGGTAGCATTCTTCAATTTCTGTATCACTAGTTTTAGTGGATAGTGCATACATTTGAATAACAGTTGGTGATGAATATAACACCATTTTTAATTGTGTCATTACTGGCAAATAAACCATCTAATTGTTTGATTCAAAGTGGCAATACCAGTACATTTTGGCTCATTAATGCCTAGAATATCAATCTTTGTGTTCATTTAAAAAACAACAACATGTTATTATTGAAGCTGTGTAGGAAACTTTAAAGTTATCATGTGTTAGTTCTCTAACTTTGTCCTTTCAAAAAATTGCTTGGGCTATACTGGATCACATGCATTTCTATATTGATTTATTGTCAACTTCTCAATTTCTGCTAAAAAAAAAAAGAAAATGGGATTTTGATAGGGAGTTTCAATTTGGGGAATGATTCATATTAACAATATTAAGTTTTCTGATCCATGAACATGAAATGTCTTCATTTTTTAGATCTTTTTGTACAGTTTTCAACAATGTTGGTTTACAGTCCATTTCATTTAAAAAAATTTCCAGTTATCTTGATTATACCTCTTACTTTCCAAGATCCAATTATTAATAGATGTTTGCAGTTGTTTCTTCTCATTTTTGGTCATAGTTCATCAGCAAGTGAAGGTCTCTTAGGCTTTCCTCTACCTGAGTCATTATGGTTCACTCTAATTTGAGAAAGCATAAAGCCCCTGGTGGTTAGGTGTTGGGCAGCGATCTGCATGCTTGGCAGTTCAAAACCACCAGCATCTACTCGGGAGAAAGACTGGGCTTTCTACACCAGTAAACAGTTATAGTCTTGGAAATCCACAGGGATTTGCTATGAGTCAGTATTAACTCGATGGCATTGAGTTGAGAAGGCATCTCTTCTTCAGTCACATTTTGAGGGCCCTTGGACCTGAGGGCCTTACCTTTTGGTAGTATCTCTTGACAGTACTTTGCTTCTACTCATTAGGTTTTCAGTAACAGACAATGTTTTGATGCTATCCATAGGGCTTTCAGTGGCTAATTCCTCTGAAGTGGACAGCCTATTCCTTCTTCCTAGTCTGGTCTTAGTTTGGAAGCGTAGCTGAAACCTGTTCACTTTGAGTGATCCTGATGGTATTTGACATACCAGTGACTTAACTTCCAATATCACAGCAACACACAAGCTACCAGAGTACGACATACAGACAAGTGGTAGATTCCCATTCAAGGTGACACTGTTTTGCGTTTCTGAGGCTATAATTCTTTACGGGAGCAGATAGCCTCATCTTTCTCTCTTGGAGCAGCTGATGGATTTGAACTTGTTAGCAGCCCAGTGCCTTATCCAGAGTTCTATATGTAGCAAATTTCTAAAGTTCCCTGTCTTACTTTCTTCATCTGTAAAGCAGGGTTAATAGTATTACTTACTAGCAACGAATGTACAAATGTGCTTTACACAATTGATGTATGTATGGATTGTGATAAGAGTTGTATGAGCCCCCAATAAAATGATTTTTTTAAAAAGCTGGGGAAAAAATAGTAGTACTTACCTCTGAGTAGTTTTGAAGATCATATGAAACAGAGCCCCTAGAGCTATGCCTGGTATAATCTTTGGAAACCTTTGCTGCTATTAGTTTGTTTTTTTTTCCCCATGCAATCCGAACTAGGTAGGTTTCTTTCATAGACCTTAGCATATGCAGTACCTTGTTTAATGAAATATTAGTCAAAATAAAATTAACTAAAAAAAAAAGGAATGAACTTTTGGAATATCTTTACAGTTCAACTTTCCCATATTTTTCTTCACTTTTGTCCTCTTATAGGTCAGTTTTTAAATGATGGGTTTTCTCCTATAGTCCCAATATTTTCTGGTGCTAAGAGGAGAATGTGCGATGAGCTCGAGGTCCAGTACACTCCATGTTGTACAGTCTATTTTAATCCTTAGTTTATTATACATATTTTTATATATTCATTGGCATTCTCATGTAATTAAAATTAGTTGCTCTCAGCATATATTAGTTTGTACTTTTAGTTTTTCCAGTAGTATAATTACTTCTGCTGGGTCATACTATAAATTAGGTTCAACTTTAGATCTTTTCATATAATCAGCTGCATATTATGTAATGACCTCTGTATGTAATCAATTTATTATTGATTTGCTCACTGTCAAATCTAAAATCTGATTTCCTTGGCAGATATGTAGACTTGTGATAGGCATTTGGCATTTTATGTATTTGGGCAGTGTAACTTTTAAGTCTACCTAAACTTCTCTGCATTTTGCCTCTGCTGTGTTCATAGATTCCAGGAGGGCTTCGTGTATGGACATCAAGCGTTGGAGGTAGCAGACTTTTCAGCAGAAGGTAAAGCAGAGTGTTGCCTTCTGGTGTCATTGTGTGTGTGTGCTGGGGTGGGCATGTGACAGGAGAGAACTTTTCAAGAATGCCAACACAAAGTAATTTATAATGATACATTGCATAATTCACTTTCACAAAATTTAACAGCAAGTTAATACATGCAAAATTTCTTTCAGTATTACTGAAATACTTTAAAAAAAGGGAAATTTTAGATAGAAACAAAAACTAAATTTCACCTTCTCTTTCTTTAATTATTAAGGTAGGCGTAATTAAGAAAAGGGTGCATTAGTGTAATGTATAATAGGTACTGTATAATTTTCCTAGACCTAGCTTTACTATGGTTTTCTTCTTGGGAAGTTGTCCAAGTCATTATTCATGACTCTACTGCTCTTTTCACTCAAAGACTGCTTCAGAATAAATCAGGAGGCAGCCTAGCCTGTGACTCATGGAAGGAGGATAGACATTCTTGCTATAGATCCTGTGTGCCAAAAATGTTAGTTTTCAATATGCTAATTATCCCTTCAGAACTCGTTAATATGCTCTTCTCTCAAGTTAGTTCTTGTTTCAGTAGAGAAATAAACACATCCCACGTACTTATAAAATATGTTTTTATAGAGACAGTCTTAATGAGTTACTTTTAAATAAAATAGCGTGCGTGACTAGAGATCAGAAATTGTGACATATCTCTTTCTTGGATTATGTATCCTTGATTTTTTTTTTAAAGAAACACTTTGTAATTCATGTACCAGATATTTCAATATCACTTTTGGTGAATTTATAAAATTATCTGAGTTTTCTTCAGACAGTATTTAAGTAGATTTTATTTTTTGAGATCTATAAGCTTATATAGTTTTATACTTTTAGATGTAAATAAATAGCTAGTTTTGAGATAGATTCTGAATGAGAGTTAGGGGAATGGTTTCTTAAATCTCCTGGGAACTATATTTGTTTTGCTTTGAAGTAAGCCTGTGTATTATACCCTCTAGGATGCACACCTTAGCTGAGGTTGGGTATTATTTATTAATCTTTACTTTGTGCCCTGTACAGGATCACTCCATTGTATAGGCAGTGCAGCTTCACTGTCTTTTTCAGCTCCCTCCTATTCAGAGGAGAGCCTGTTTTTAACTGGAGGAGGTAGATGAGTTTGAAGCTGTTTATTTAGGTAAGCTACAATTTACCTCCTAAGCATTGTCTCCTTTCTTTTGCTCTTCTTGCGGCCGTTTTGAGACTATTTTCTATTTAGAGATACTAGTTAGACTGGAAATAATTTCTTGAAGGCCTTTCATACTTCATTTTCAGGGTGGTTGTCTAGTCTCACCCCTGTTGAATTATGCACTCTTGTTTTGTTTAGGAGGTGTGGTTGTATAGTGGTTAAGTGTTTGGCTGCAAACAGAAAAGTCACTGGTTTGAACCCACCAGCTGCTCTTTGGGAGAAAGATGTGGCTTTCTACTCGTATAAAAATGTTAAAGCCTTGGAAAGCCAGTGGGGCTGGTCTACTTGATCTTACAGCATTACTGTGAGTTGGAAGAGTTGGTAGTGGTTTTTTCTCTTTTAAAATATGTGTAGCTAATCTGATTGTGTCATATTTTTGTTATCAATTGAAGATCTCAATAGATTATCCTAATCAGTAGTATCAAAGACATAAAATACTGCTGATCTCAGGGCATAGGTAGACTCCTCCACAAGTTCTATGAGAAACATGGGATTAAATGGGTAATTATAGAGTTATTTATATTTTTTTAACTTTTACTTGTGAATTAGGTGCAGTTTTACAGAATAAATCAATTTTCATTTCAACAATTCATTCACATTTTGTTTCAAGTCACTGATTGCAATCCCCACAGTGTAACATCACTTATCCCACTTCTGCCTTGTGTTTCCTGTTTCCATTTCTCCTTCTTTCCTAACCCTTCGGCCTTCTGAACTCTCTCCTTGGACAAATGATACCCTTTTGATCTCAAGTGGTTGACTGTTCTAAGGATTTCATACCTTTCTAGTGTTATTGTTCACCGTATAGAGCTCTCTCTTAGTTGGCAGAAAATTGGGCCAGAAAGGTGAATTTGGTTCCAGACCTGATGGGTGACTAAGGGCCATACTCTCAGAGGTAGGAGGGTGGGAGGAGGATGAGGGTCTATATAGAAATATTTTATTAGACGGATTCAGGTAGTTTTCCCACATACTTAGTTCCTCTACTCTCATGTGAACATCTGTTAGACCAAGATATTTTCTAACATAGAAGATATAGTCAATATATTGCAAACTAATGACAACCCTTGTCATTCTGTTGATTCCAATTTATAGCAATCCTGTACAGGGTTTCCTAGACTATAAATATTTGTAGGAGCAAACAACCTTGTCTCTCTTACAAGGAACTAATGGTGGGTTTGAGCTGCTGATTGTTTGTTAGCAGTCTAACACCTAACTCATATGCCAAAGTGTGCCTTACTCACCACATTGGGCACTCAGTAGCTGCTGAATGAAAGACTTAATTCTGGACTCCACTCTAAACCTTCCTCTGATTAGAGAAGTTAGTCATTAAATCAATTGATCACTGCGTCAAATATTTGAGTGTTAGGTACAAGGCATTAGGTGGTAACAAAGATATATATAATGCTGTTTGCAAACTATATATAAAGATATATATATATTTCACTCAGCAAAGTAAATAACGATGTGACATGTCAGTGTCAAATGCCTGTCTCATTTTTAGGGAGCCTTGGTGGCATGGTGGTTACATATTGGGCTGCTAACATCAAGATCAGCAGTTCAAAACTACCAGTTGCCCTGTGGGAGAAAATGAGGTGTTCAACCCTGTGAAGAGTATGTAGTCTTGCAAACTCACAAGGGCTGTTCTTCCCGGCCCTGAAGGGCTGCTATGAGCTGAAATTGACTCATGGCAGTGAGTTTGGTTGGTTTCATATTTTGTTGATATATATTTACCAGGAACTCATATTCCAATGCCCTGTTCTAAGCATTTTAATTAAGATGTCTATTCATGGGCGTCTTCCATACGTTTAAAGAAAATGTTCGTGGGAGGCTTCAAAAATTTCATGGAAAAATAAAGAGAATGAAAAATTTCAAGGAACTTTTTGATACCTCCTTGTATATTAAGGCTTTCTTGGTGCTGGACACTCCTAGGTGCTTTGTACGTATATCATCTCATTTCTATGTATATTACCTCATTTCATCTTCAAGGCAGGTCTTACAAGATTTATAGATGTAAAAGCTGATTATTTGAGACTCTAAGTAACTTATTAGCTGCATGAGTTAGTATAATAGGTATGGTTCCATAGCACAAGCTCTTTCAAGCATACACTAGAAAGGATTATATAACATGGTACATTATAGATGCCCTGGGTGTGGTGCAGAGATGTGGTTTGGGAATGCACAGGAGATGTCTTTGACCTAACATTTAAAGAGAATAGGATGCTCACAGGATTTTTGAAATCTTGTCTTTGCTAGATGGATAGAAAGAGTACAGGGAAAAAAATCGGTTAATGTGGGTCAGAATGAGGGCCAAAACCAGTATTTTGTGATTGACAATATAAAAATTTTGAATAAATAGTAAAATGCAGTTAAACAATTCTTGTCTTTTATTTTAAAGTCCTCCTCTTTCCCCATTTTTTTTGGTCTTCAACAAAACACCTTCTGGATTTGCTATGGCAAGTTGCGTTTGAGAGAATAGAACACAGAACTCCTGTGAAAATCCCAAGCTCGTATTTGTTGACTGGCTTAGAACAATCAGTGCAGCAGTAACTAAGGGAGCAGAAGGCCTGGGAAAAAGAGAATGTCCAGAATGATTTCCCTTAAATCCACAATACTTTATTTGCCTCTTTCTTGTAGCTCAATAGAAAAACAAGACCCAACTCACTGTCATGGAGTTGACTCATAGCAACCCCGTATTTCAGTAAGGAACTATAATAGCCATCAGTGTGCTAAACACCATGGGGTTATAAAAGGTCTATAAAAGGCATCACTGGTTTCAGGCAACTTGTTGTTGGAAAGAGTAAAAGTAAGCCAATGAGAAATTACTTAGCAGAACTAATATGCACTGATATATACTGTAATACTAATGCAAGTACATGTTGGAAGCTTTTTCTTAAGTGATGTTATATGGGTTGTGCCTTAGGCGCGCACGCGCGCGCTCTCTCTTTAAACGTTTGTGCTCTCTGGGTCATCTACTTTCATGACTTCAGTTTCTAAATACTTCCATATCTCTACTTACATCTGCATTCTGAGCTGTAGGTTCATCTGAATGCCTTTTGAACTCCCAACACCTGCTCAGTATTAACAGACTATCTTACCCACCACTGTCACCTCCTTGTCCAAGCCAGAAACTCAGAACCATTTTTTCCTTTTTCCCCCTGATACTGTGCTATGTTGATATGGTTTCCTATCAACAGATTTTTGTTTTTAACTTTTTATTGTAAATTAAGTGAGGATTTACATTTCAGATGATCATTTTTTGTATTCAACGACTTAAACTACTTATTGTACCTCTCAATAGCCTACCGTGCTCTCTTCTCCCTCCTGTAGAATACTAGCTTCCCTTCACCATAGTTAAGACCCACCCACCTTCTCACTCCCAGTTATCTTTTAAATCTACTCACTTCTGTTTATTCCTTCTCAATCCTAATTTCAGTTGTTGCCATCTCTTACTTAAATTATTGTGAAAATTCTTTACCTACCAAATATACTTGTGTATAAGTCGAGTTTTTCAGCACATTTTAATGGTAAAATTAGGTGCCTCGGCTGATTTTTGGGTCAGCTTATACTCAAGTATATACGGTAATCTTCTTGTTCTATCTTCCTATTGAAATGCTTCATAAAAATACATATTACTTAGAATACTTATCTTTTTTTTTTTTTTAAGAATACTTATTTTTTATTCTGGGATTGGAATCCAGTTTTTCTTAAGAAGGCTCACTTCTTGACTTGGTGCTTCTTCAGCTCCAACTCTTAGTACTTTCTTGCAATTCCTTTAAACGAGTCTTATTGAACTTTA